TTGTTAAAATGTCAAGTTTTCTTTGACTAAAACTAGACTAAAATGTTGCGACTTTTAGGCCTGGTTTCACAGACAGGGCTTAGACTAAGCCAGGATTATGCCATAGTTTAATAAGGACATTTAAGTAATTTTTATAAACATGCCTTAGAAAAAAATATTACAGGTGTGCATCTTGAGACAAAACAAAGGCATTGATATATTTTAAGATCTTAAATTAGGCTTAAGCCTTGTCTGTGAAACCAGGGGCATGTCGACTAAAACTTGACTAAAACTAAATAGGATAAGTTTGACTAAATATGATAAAAACTAACAAGTTAATACAATATTAAGTATGTGTTGAGTAATATATAGTAGTATTTCCAGACACGTTTATTGAATTCTTTGAAAGTGAAAAATGGTAAAGATGCACATTATGTGCCTCATGCCAAAAACAAATCTCTGAGGCATATTGTATGGAAGTGTGATGGTTTTAATTCATTGAGGAATTAGTTTTATTGAGCTGAAGCATTTAAATAGGTTTTTAATAAAGTCTGTTTAAAAAAGAAAAAACCTTGTAAACGAACTTTATTGTATACCTTTATTGTACTTTAAATTGACAATGAAATATAAAATAACCACGGAAGCTAGCATGGTGTTAAATCACTAACAAACAAACAAACAAACATTTCTTTCTGGTTCAGAGGAGATGGACAATGGTGTGGACCAGTTGGATGGTCAGGAACGGACTCAATCTCCAGGCTGTGAACAGGGGGATGCTGGCAGAGAGGGGGAAAGAGATGACAAAGAGAGGGAGGAGAAAGACAGGGAGAGACTGAGAGTCAAACTGCCCCAGAGATCCGACATGATCTGCGGCTTTGCCACCCTCAAAGGTTTCAGTGTGTATACATTGTTGTATCTTCATCTGATTTTCTTACCATTCATCATTTCATATGTGACCCTGGACCACAAAACCAGTCTTAAGTCGCTGGGGTATATTTTTAGTAATAGCCAAAAATTCATTGTATGGGTCAAAATTATCGATTTTTCTTTTATGCCAAAAATCATTAGGATATTAAGTAAAGATCATGTTCCATGAAGATATTTTGTAAATTTCCTACCGTAAATATATTAAAACTTAATTTTTGATTAGTAATATGCATTGCTAATAACTTCATTTGGACAACTTTAAAGGCAATTTTCTCAGTATTTAGATTTTTTTGCACCCTCCGTTTCGATTTTCAAATAGTTTTATCTCGGCCAAATATTGTCATATCCTAACAAACCATACATCAATGGAAAGCTTATTTATTCAGCTTTCAGATGATGTATAAATCTCAATTAAAAAATTTATTCAGCTTTCAGATGATGTATAAATCTCAATTTCGAAAAATGGAACCTTATGACTGGTTTTGTGGTCCAGGGTCACGTATGTCACCGCCTGTGCAGATTGCTGATGTTTTGTGTTTTGTGCTTCAGGCACTGCTGCAATGAGAAACACCAAGAAAGGGTCCTGGTTCATTCAGGAACTGAACAGCGCAATCAGACAGAGAGCCAACGACACACACCTGGCAGACATTCTTGTGCAGGTAAAACGTTTTAGTCCACTGTCTTTTTTGAATACAATGATTTATCGTATGGCCATTTATCTAAACAATGTTAAAGGGATCCCCGGGTATTAAGACATGTATAGCTTAATATAACGTAAATTATGTCCCTTATTTAAATATATAGTAGAAACCCCATGAAAGATGTATGTTATTTTAAAAAATCGACATGGTTTTTGGACTATGGGGGGCGCCATTAATTTATGTGCACAGTACATTCTGCGTCGATGACGTCAAATGGTTGCACTCGGTGAGCTACTGGCGCTTATTTCGATAGTCTTTGGCTTTTTACCACACGCAACACAACTCAGAAAATAAAATACTGATACGATATCACATTGTGTGACTTTTGGTTGTAATTTTCAGTCGAAGGGCAACAAGAGAAGCAATGCAAGACTTCACAAGAAGAGGAGAAAAGAATGGGAAGATGCCTGTGGACGAATAAAACTTCCTAAAGACCAGCTTCTTTATTCACTCCACTTTAGTCCTGATGCCTTTGAGTCTTTTAGTAGACCACAGCTACTGAAAGAGCTTACAAATGGCTGAGAAACGCTATGTCATCCTGTAAACATGCCGACGCTAATCATGACGCGCGGCCACTAGAGGAGTTTCTCAGCACAGATTTTCCTCTAGATCCGGGGTGTTTAGACTCCATGTGGGGAAAAATCGATGGTACAGCATTTGGTTTAAGCCTATGCTTATCCATCTCCACCTGTAAGCTCTTTCAGTAGCTGTGGTCATCATATCAGTATTTTATTTTCCGAGTTGTCTATTCCGAGTTGGGTTGTGATAAAATTAGGAACAGGTAGCAGCAGTAGCTCCCCGAGTGCAACCATTTTACGTCATCAGAATAATGGCGCCCCCCATAGTCCAAAATATGTATAAAACGATGTGATTTTTAAAATAACATAAATCTTTAATGGGTCTTCTACTACATATTTCAGGAAGAGACATAATTTACGTTATATTAAGCCATACAAGTCTTAATACCCAGGGATCCCTTTAACATGTTGGCACATTGATATTGAGTTCAGTTGATATCCATGCAAAATCAGATTTTAATGATAAAGTGTTTTATAAATTACACCTTATTCACAACTTGTTACAGCTTAATCATGAAAAGCCTGACATATGAAATTATAGTCAGAAAAATGTAATTTTTTTTTACATTGAACAGTTAATTAAACATTGAGAGAAAATCTAAAAGGCCTAAAATATAATTATTTCAAATATAATAAAAAAAAATTAATATAAAATATGATGATGAAGGCTTAATATGGTTAAAATGTATTTTGCACTTTCTGTTGTTTTCTGTAGGTAAACAGTCGAATTAAAAGCAGAGAGGGATACGCACCTGGTTCAGCCCATCATGGACTCCTCCTTGCTCGCCAGAAGTAACAAAAACAAGAAGAGGTGGAAGTAAAACAGAAATCAAGCTGGGAGGGGTTCAGGCCCGCAGATAGATGGGGAGGCATGTTGCCGCTAGTAATGGCTGATGTCGTTAATGTGAGATGAGGCGTAGATTAGCCGTGTGCCACAGCGAAGAAAAGACAAGCAAATCTGGACCTGTATTATCTATTTAACACAAAACACAAGTACGCTCATTTGGGCTCAACTGTTTCAGTCACTCTCTCCGCCAGCTCTTTGTTTGAGTCTTTGTGTTTTTATTCACTACACTTCGTAGTGATTTTTTAAAACCATTTTCTTGCCCTTTTCATAAAATTGATCCTTATTTATTTAATATATCCTGACAGTGATTGTTTTAGGATTTGAATCATCTGTTTCATGTTAACTACAGAATGTGTAGATTAAAGGGTTAGTTCACCCAAAAATTCTGTCATTAATTACTCACCCTTTTCCCTAAGTACTACCCCAACAACTAGACACTCACACACACACACACACTCACTCACTCCCCAGGCACGAAGCACATGCAGAAAACACTGCCCTCAGAACTGATTTTGATGCAGTAGTGGAAGCTCAGCGCACGTGTGTACATCCATCACTTGCTGTACGCTCAGAGTCATGTAAATCTACTTACACCCATTCCATGTGTCATCTGTTTCACATTCCTCAGCACAATGACGGGTTCATTAGGATGCGTGTGTGCATTATTTACAATGGATAGATCAGTTTTTAGGTCAGAGTTAAAAAAAAAAAATTATTTTATTTTCTAGGATGCACTTAGAGAATGTATTATTGTTTTTATGCCTTGCTCTTTTTTTTTTTTATTTTTTTACAAAAATTGCTACGAGTGAATATGCCATTTGTGAGATATATGTGAAAAAAATCCCATTTGTTTTCGTGATATATAGGGAGAGATTGGGGTTAAAAATAACCCCAAATCAAATATATTTTTTTATTCCAATATTTTCTTTTTTAACAGCTGTATAAAATTTGCCACAGAATTACCCTTTTTTTTAACCAAAGCCAACATTTGATCAGTCTTTTGTTTTATCAGATTTATTTTTATTTGTTTGTTTTCAATTTACTTTGTACAGTTTTTTTTCTTCTTCTCAGTAACTCGTGTATTGTATGTTTTGTAATTGTGGAGCCTTTTTATAGCTAACCCGTAAGCTTGTTGGTACATTCAGAGCAGCTGTCACACATACACGGTTGTATGCATAGACATGCATAGTAACATTGTGCCAGTACTATACTAAACCCCTCCATACCATTTCACAGAGCCGATCTGCTCTTACTTTATCTTTGGTTTCCTCAGTGCAGCTTAGCATGCATTGTATCAACATCAGTACAACTTCAAATGAATGTTTTCTGTAAGTACTGCGGCATGACATCTGTTAATTTTCTTTAGTAACCCTGTATTCACCATGGCAGCTTTATTGAACTTTAATAGGGCTTCCTGACTCAGAGTTAAAAGTTAAACTATTTCTCTATTTTGGTTGGCATATAAAAGTTATTTTTAAAAACGTATCAATACACTTGATCATTCTGTAGATATTCATGCAATTCTAAAAGTTCCAGATTTCACTTGCATTCCAAATTGTTTTCAATGCGGAGTATTGTCAAAATGAAATGTATGTATCCTCATAATATGTTTCTTAATTATGCCTGTACATATGAATATTTCTTATACTCTTGCACATTACATTTCACTTTAAACATTCTGTGTGCCAACAAATTCACATTATGGAGACTGGAAGTATGCTGTCTTAAAGAAAAGCCTACAGGTGGCGGTAGAGAGCTTTTGTACCTCATCAGCTCACCTTGAGTCATTTAGAGGTTCCAGGATTTAGACACAGTCTTCCTGTTCTACACACACAACATTATTCCTCCTGGGAATGTAGAGTGTACATTTGAGTGTGCTGTTTTCCATCTGTGTCTGTGTCTTCCTGATCCAGTAGCCATGACCTTTAGGTTAAAGGTCATACCTTTGACCTTCTGACACTGCCATGGCATCCATTTCACACTCAACCACAGGTTATCACTCAACATGATTATTTTATTCTTCTGTATTTTATTTTAGAAGCCAATGATGTAGATGTACACTGTTCATGCTGATATTGATTTCAAGCAACTGTTGCTTTGTTGGGTTTTATTCTTTTATATTTTAACTAATAAGCTTCTTTGAACTGGGAGAATAATATGGGCATAGGTTCATTTTAAGCAAACATTAAAATCCTAAATATAAAGTGAGGGACTGGTGCAGATAAATCATTTATAAAAGATTACTTTCATATTGGGCAAAAGTGCCATGATTATTTAGAAAAAAAAAGACTGGTTATTTGATGAAATACTAGTTATTTTCATCAGTCATTTGAAGTTTTAAATGAAAAACAAAACTAAAGTAAGAAACATAAAATGTATATACTAAGAAAATGTATTAATTTCAGACCCAAAGTTTTGCTATACTGTGTAAGTATTTCTTTAATCCTGCACTCGTTCCATTGAGAGAACGCCAGCATATTTACAGTACGTTCTCCAAAACCAGCCTAACTTTGTTTTACACAACTCCCCCAACTGTATTTATAGATAATCAATGTATTTCTCAGGCTGTGTTAAACTGGTTTTGAATGTGTGTTCAGAATTGTAATGGGGAATGCGTTGTGACATTTAGCCCCTCAGGTTCTAGTTGTGGTAACAAATGTTTAAAAGTTCCCCTATGAAGGTATTAAAACCCACAATGGACAGATACATATTATAAAATCCAGTTTAGTTCCTGCCAGATGAGTGCCTAGCAAACTTGATATTAAATGGTTTATTCACTGCCTTTTTTCATCTGTACTAACCAACTATGAAGGGTGCTTAAAGAAACTTTAGGGAAACTGTAATTTTTGTATTTTTGTAATGCAAAAGCTGCCATGTAATAAAGAAATACTGTTCCAAAGACCTTTGAGTTGCGTTGTGGAGTGTATTGTCTGGTTGGTTATAATTGAGTGTCAGCCATGTTGGATGTTATTCTCTGTATTGAGTTGTTTAGTATTAGATGTCTCTCACTCCCTCTCCCTCTCTGTTTTTCAGAGTTGTCCTTGGCTTCCGTGGTGATGCATTTTTATCCGCGTGCTCGGGTTTCTCTGTCCTGCCGTGGCTGCATGAACGGCCGTCATTGTACCGATCCCATAACACCTACCCATCTGACCTGTTAGCGTGACTCCAGCACTGAAGCCTTCGCCGCAAGGCCCAGATGGTATGTATATAAATGCGTGGAGGATTACTTTAATCACTTTATTTATTTTGAAGCTTTATTTAGTTGTCCACCGAGGTATATCCTGGCCAATCGATTGGAAGGCCCAGTTGTGATATAAAAAGCGACAACCTACACAATGTATTTCAGAAGTCCCGAAGGGTTGCGTATGAGGTTTTGCTGCACTTTTAGCTCATCAGATCAGTGGATGCTTAACTCGGACGTCTCTCTAAGTTAATGCCTGTAAACATTTCGGACTCTAGAAGCCATGAGTTGGCAGAGAGTTTACATATTCATCATCCTGTTAATCAGAGTAGTGGTTGAATCACAGCAAGAGTGTGTTGTATTTTAAGACACTGCGGGGCATCTGAGTTTCCTCGCTGCTGCATTGAACGCTGTTGTAAGACCTTGATTAGCTGGTTCTGGTGTTTTTAATTAGGGTTGGAGCTAAACTCTGCAGGACTGAGTCTGGTGACCCCTGGTCTACATAAAAAGAAAATGATACAAAAGTCTAGAATATTCCCACATTAAAGGGATAGTTCACAATTCAAAAATGAAAATTCTGTCATTACTCACCCTCATGTTGTTCCAAACCTGTTCATCTCCGGAACACAAATTAAGATATTTTTGATGGAATATGAGAGCCTATCTTATTTTGTGTTCCGAAGATGAATGAAGGTCTTACGGGTTTGAAACGACATGAGGGTGAGTAATTAATGGGTGATTTTTGGGTGAATTAACCCTTTAAAAGAATGGTCACCCTACAAGAATTTACCATGGTAAACATAACCAAAATACAATAGATGCAAGTTATTGTTAACATTGCAAAACTATGACAAAAATCTGTTTATATTTCTATACTAGTTCTGAAATACCTAGAGATATTAGAGTATTTCAAAAGTGTATTTTAGAGCACTGGAAAAGTCATGTAAATGAATCACATTTTCTTAATTCTGAAGTCTTTTATCAGGTAGAAATAATCTTAGAATTTGATATGAAAAAATATTTTGGTAACACTTTACAGTTAGGTTCTGTTTTTTAGCGTTTGTTTACGTCAGTTAATATGAGCTAACGATGTCAAATACTTCTGAAGCGTTTATTAATCTTTGTTAATGGTGATTTTAACATTTACAAATACACTATTAAAATCAAAAGTTGTATCTGTTAATATTATTTAATAGACCTGCACTAACATGAATGTACAATGAGCAGTTGTATTTTTATTAACAAACGTTAATAAAGATGAAGAAATACATTTGTTACAGTATTTCTTCATCTTTATTAACAAACGTTAATAAAGATGAAGAAATACTGTAATAAATGTATTGCTCATTGCTCAACTGTTCACAATTGGGACCTTATTGTGAAGTGTTACCAGTATTTTTTATATGAATATTTCATAAACTTTTCTGCCATTCAGGTAATTTTCAGACTTTTATCCAAAGTTATTTAGAGTGCAATTTTATTTATTTTTTTAAATCTTGGAAATATCAGGGAATTTCGAAGATATGATTCCTGGGCCTGGAAAGGAATAAAAATGTATAAAATTGAAATTATTAAAAACTTATAAAGTAAGTTAAAGAAAGTTATGTAAATTTTCATAGCATTTCTCCCAATCTCTGTTAAGTTAATTTATTAAAAATGCTATCCATTTGTCCGCAAATCACTGTAAAAAAAAAAAAAGTATAATAATTTTTAGAAAGTATGGTAACCCAGAATATTTCTATAATTCCAAATAGAATTACAGTTCATTTAAGGTATAACTTTTCCAAGGTTTTCACGGTCATGGAATATGTCAGGTTAAACAAAAAAAAAAAAGGAGTTCCAAAATAGTGATTTAGGTCCTGGAAATGTTTTGAAAATTAATAAAATAATAACATTTCATGGAAATTTCTTACTGATCTCTTAACTCTAAAGTATTGCTCTTTGTAAGTGCAATCTCTATCAAATAATTTAAAGTCCTTATCCCGTACTCTAGGATAGGAAAAATTCTGGAAACTCATAGCTCACAATGATTGAGAACCCTGACCTTTGTTACCAGCTTGCTAATATACCAAATTTGCCTATACCATGTATTTGACAGAAACTATGGATACCATAGTAATGTTTTGCAAGGGTTGTGAATATCTGCATGTTTGTGATGTGTTTGCTTTCTCTGCTCCTCCGTAAGTGTTGTTGGTGCAGTGTATTACAGGTAGGCCGACTCTTTGCCAGTTTGTGGATGGTGTGTTCCAGTGTATCTAATTGAAGAATCACACGTCTCAGCATTTTTCTTGCAAGTGTGTGTTGCGGGTACTGTAACATAAGAGTGAGACAGCGTGTGTATCTTTTGCTTTGAGAGGGGTGGTGTGTGTAACTGAATAAATGGGTAAGAGTCGGTGAGTGTATGTTTCATTTGCTGTAACACAGGAGTGAGACTGTGTGTGTTTATTTTTGGCTCAGTGCGAGCGTGTCGATGGCTGCCGATGCGTCGCAAAGGAAAGCTCTGAGATACCAGCAAACCCTGGTCAGTCACTGTCTTTCTGTACCTCTTTTTCTCTCCCGTTGTTTTGTTGTCTTACTCCGCGACGTTTCGCTGTCTTGCTTTTGGTGGGTAGCTTGCTGAGATTTGTCGTGGTCGGTCTGGTCTGTTCTAACCTAGAAATGCTTGTCTGCCCAAAATATGACTCTTTAAATAATGGGTCTCAAAGTCTTTCACTTCACTAGCCTCGGCTTTAATTGATTTTCCATTCTATTCTTAGTGGTGGCGACACACATGGAGCTCACTGGGCTGTTCTAGCACAACTCATGAATAGGTATGAGAATTGTCGTAACCCATGTCAACACCCTACTGATTAAAGACAATCTGTCTCGTAAACTTGCATTAGAGTCAATACAATGGATTTGTGCTTCCTTATCAGATGCTTATTGGGAGAGAACAATGTTTGCATGTTCTGCTTCCCACCTCCTTGCTTTTTTAATGCTTGTCAGTCATTTTACGGTTACTTCAGGTTGCTTCCCGTTGCAGCATTTTCTTTTTGTGAACTCCATTTACTGGCGTCATTTGGAGTGAAAAAAAGTCTCAGGTTTCTGAAAGTTCTGTAAAACTCCTCGAATGCCCTTAAGGATTATTTGCAATGTCGTAGACTTGCTGAGCTAAGCAGATGTGTGGACCAAACCTCGTGATTTGTGTGTATTCATGCTAACCTACGCACTCCATCTCTGCTGCTATACGCTAGCAGAAACCCGAGCATGCAGGTTAAATATACGCCTGGCCCTGCTGCTCTCGATGGCCGCTATACAGCAGAGAGGAACATATGGTCAGGTGCATTGAGCTATTTGTTAGAGTTTGGTTCTATTGGACAGCTTATTAGGAAGGCCCAAAGATTGTATTAAAGTAAAAGGAAATAGATTGAACACAAAAGGTCAAGTGTCAAAAGAAAGCGCGAGAGAATAGTCATAAATTTGGTACGTGAGAAAGTGAGACGAGGGGGCGAAAGAGCGCCAATTCATTAGCTGTCAGTTTTGCACTGTCACAAGTCATTAAGTTCCCACACACAGGCTCCCTTCAACCTTCCATTTCTCCACCTGTCTAACTCTCTTCTCTCACACGCGAGTTCCCACATCGATTTTCCTCTCCTGCCGCACAATATGGGAAGATCGCCAGGGCTGGGAGCTTTTTTTAACCTTTTTAAATTTTACGCATAAACGCATTACTGCCCCTGCCGTCCCCTTTCTGTCTGTCTCGCACACGAAGAAGATTCCTGTAGCGAAAATGATCCAGTCAGAGAAAAACTTGATCAGTAGCCTTATTCATAGGCTTTATGTGAATGTTTTCCTCTTTATAATCAGATTTAATACACTGTTGCTATTCTGTTGCTGCTGAAAGAGTGTTTTTCGCTCAATATATTATTACAAATGTGTGTGTGTTTAGAATTTGCCAGCTTGAAGGGATAGTTCACACAAAAATGAAAATTCTGTAATTAATTACTCTTATCGTTCCAAACCTGTTAGACCTTCGTTCATCTTCGGAACACAAATTAAGATATTTTTAATGAAATTTGAGAGCTTTCTGACCCTGTGTAGTAGGGCTGGGTTTTGACACAAATTTCGCTATTCGATTCGATTGTCATTCACAAGCTTTCGATTTGATTACCGATTCGATTCAATATCGATTATTTTGGTATATATCAGGTAAAGTACATGCCAAATTTTCAAGGAAAAAAAATCTCAACTAATGCTGTAAAATATACATGAGTCAGTTGGTACAACATTACTATAATATTGAAGGTTAAAATGAAGTTTTTACAATAATAAAGTTACAGTTACATATATTTTTTTACTTTAGTTCGTTTTTTTTTTAAATATAAACATTTCAATGGTGGCTGTCATAAAAACTTGATGGATTTATTCAAACATAAAACATAAATTGATTACACATATGTTATATGGTGCATATATTAAGCAAAATGCCCCTCTCTACAGTTTATTGTTTATTTTGGCATTTATTGTTTAAATGCTGCAACACAATGGACAGAATTTGAAATCTGAGACTCTGTTTCATATGAAAAGTACCAAAGCACAATGCTTACTGCTATTTATTGGATGGGAAGTAGCCTACCCTTCAATGTTCTGTTCATGAACTGAAAACAGGCTAAACTAATCGATTCTTGGGATTTAGGAATCGATATCGTTCCGTAAAAATGACAATCGATTAAAATCAAGAAATCAATATTTTTTTTACCCAGCCCTATTCACAAATGAGCACAACTTTTATGTATTTTGAAGCCTAAGTACAATTGCCAGAAGTACAAATGCAGTTCATGTGCTGCCGCGTCTGTTGAACTGAGGCGCTACAACGATCTGTCACTCCACATTAAACAGCGCAAACAGCGCCATTATTGTTTAAATGCTGCAATACAATGGACAGAATTTGAAATCTGAGACTTTGTTTTATATGAAAAGTACCAAAGCACAATGGTTATTGC